ACAGCCTAAATGTCCATCAACAGGTGACTGGATAAAGAAGATGTGGTATATTTATACAATGGAATACTACTCAGCCATAAAAACCAACAACATAATGCCATTTGCAGCAACATGGATGCTCCTAGAGAATGTCATTCTAAGTGAAGTAAGCCAGAAAGAGAAAGAAAAATACCATATGAGATCGCTCATATGTGGAATCTAAAAAACAAACAAACAAACAAAAACAAAGTGTAAATGCAGGACAGAAATAGACTCATGGACAGAGAATACAGACTTGAGGTTACCAGGTGGGTAGAGGGTGGGAAGGGATAGACTGGGATTTCAAAATTGTAGAACAGATAAACAAGATTACACTGTATAGCACAGGGAAATATACACAAAATGTTATGATAACTCACAGAGAAAAAAATGTGACAATGAGTGTGTATATGTCCATGAATGACTGAAAAATTGTGCTGAACACTGGAATTTGACACAACATTGTAAAATGATTATAAATCAATTAAAAATGTTTAAAAAAAAAGAAGAGAGTTCTTCATACTGTGTATGTGTTATGGTGTGAAGGGTTTTGTGGAAAATAAAGTGCCTGACCTTTCTCTTGTTTCTTTCCTTTAATCATATTTATTTCCCAGCCCTTGTTCCACTGCCCGTGTTTTACTGACAAAAACAGAACTCTGTTGAACTTTTGGAATTATTCTCCCAAATTTTCAGTAAATTACTTCTGCCATATTTTCAAGATCAATTATACACTATCATAATAGAGCTAGACTCTGGTGCCAATGGGCAGAAGAAAGAGTTTATAAAAATTTCAAACTGGAATTTGGAATCATGTATTTTCCTGTCAAAATGAAAAAGGAAATGAAGTGTACACTCCTCTTTTTATTAAGAAGATGCATGAGGTTTAGGGACATATCAAGGAATGGAACTCACAGAATCTGTCAGTTTCTAATCTTCCTAACACAAAATGTGAGAATAAAAAAGGAAATTTAGACTTTTTATCAGGACAATTCAGAAATGTATTTGAGGCACAATATAATGTTAATGATATATATAACATTAACATCAACAAATTTTGAAAAAATAATTTGCATTGTAAAAGTGACACGTTTATTGTGGGGAAATAATTAGGAAAATAATGAGATATAAAGAAGAAAAAAGAACAAGTCACAATGCTGGACTCTAGAAATAATAATTGCAAACAATAATTGCAAAAATAATTGGTGTTAACCTTCCAACATTTACCCTGTGACTACAGTTTTTACACAATTGAAAATAGACTGTAGAGGGTATAGATATTAGTCTACAAATTGAGACATACTTAAAATATTAACTTTCTTTATTTTTCTCATGCTCAAATTAATTTCTGTCAAGTCCTCACTCTGCCTGGGAACCACAATTTCATCTTGATCAACTTGAGAACACCTCCTTCTTTCTGAGGAGGTATCTAAGTTGATAGGGGTTGGGGGTGATGTCACATCAGACATGGGAGGAGAGGACTGGGGGGTCCTTGACCATCAGGTAATCATCTGTATAGGTCTGCTAAGAAGTTTCTTGTCCCTGTTAGCATCCTTTCTCTTTAGCTTCTATGCTTCTGCCTAGAAAACAGAATCCCAGGACCCCATCAAATTCTAGCTCTTCTCAACTGCCAATGTCTTCTCTCTGAAATTCAGTGGTACCTTTTTTTTCAGATACAAGAATATGCTGATTATCTGCTTGTTGCCTCTCAGCTCCACATCCACCCTATTTACACTCTACTCTGTGATGCTGGGACTGGGATTCTGGAACTGTATTTCCCAGACTCCTTTGCCAGCAGCCTTTTTGCTCATCCTGCCAACTGGCAGCAGCTGAGGAGAAGGAAGGAAGAAGGGAGAAGGGGCTTCCTCCCAGTTTACTGCTAGTCCTGTCAGTGTTGCCCAGGACAGGTGACTTGTCCCACCAATGGCAGTTGGCTTATACCTCAGCCCCAGTGTCTGCCAGCACTTTCAGAATCTGCTACCTGGGCCCCTGAGGATAGCCAACAGTAGCTGGACGGGGCCCCATCCTCCCAGGTCTGAGCCCCACCTCACTGAAGCCCACCCCCCAAGCAGCCCAGTGGTCCCTGCTCCCTGTTGTTACTGCCTCCAGACCATCCCCTCCGAGGCCTCTTCTGGTCTCTCAGCCCTTTGACACCTGGAGAGCCAACTTCCAAAATTAAACCTACTCTGTTTTAATGCCTGTAGCGTAATAGTCAGAGTTCTCACAGGACTAGTATCTGGAGGAAGGGTT